TCAGTGTTTTGTTTACATAGCACAAATAGCTGACCAACCATCCAGGCATAATCCAGAGAATGGGTGAGAAGGGAAGGAGCTGTTTATGTAATATAGAATATTTTTTGTGCAATATCTGTGTTGTATTTTTTGATGAATTATGTACAGTACTTGGTGTTTATTAAAGGAGTTGTGGAACAGTTTATGCGTATTTTTTAGCCTTTGTTACCTAGTAAATATTTCCATTAAAGTCCATTAAATTATAATTTGCAGTATGCTAATTCGCTATCTGGTACTTAACCCACGAATTATCGTAACTCATATATATATATATATATATATATATATATATATATATATATATATATATATATTTATTTATTTATTTAAAACCCTAGTTAATTTAAGACCCAATTAAATTTACGTCCTTATTTCATTCGTGTTTACGACCAAAATATAATAAGAACAAAATAAAATTACATTTTCATATAAATAATAACCAAATCTCGATATGTACAGTAAAACCTCGATTAACCTACCACATATGGGGGGAAGGGACTGACAGTTAATCGAAAAGGTCGGATAATAGGACATAAGTCTACGGAAATAAAACATACATTTTCAAAGTACCTTTCCCTAACCTACCTCATTTAAGTCCCTCTATTCATTTTCCATTCATATTTCAATAGAATTTGCTTTAAAACATTAACCACTTTAGTAAGTAAATATGAACCAGCACAGAAACCGTGAATAAAAAATGGAAAAGTCAAAGAACATATGTCATCACAAAAATTGTGACCAGGTTGCTGATCTGACTTTCTGCCTCATTTACACACAATTGCAGGATCTCAAGTGTTTCTCTTACTATTGACAACACAACATACATACATGTACATTGTTTCTCACTCTTGATTTTTTTTTTCATTTTTGCATTTCTTTTTGGTTTTTTATTATTATTATTATTATTAGCATTATGATTATTAATATTATTACATTATCGCCCCCCAGGCCCCGAAGTGGTCAGTGACCTGTGCCCGGGTGGTCAAATCCCTGTAATTTTTTTTTTTAGGGGTTTGGGATTGACAGTTAATCCGAAAGGTTAATCGAGGTTTTACTGTATTTTTGAAAAAAGAAAAAATTAAGAACGCCTTGCGCAGAGAAGCTGCCTTGCTAATGAGTGGTAAACAACAGTCGGAGCTTGGCGGGCCTTTTGTTTTCACGCATTTGGAACAGGAACAGGAGAAAAACTTTCACAGGTTTCTTACAGCATTTTTGCATCCCTATTCAACCTGAGCAAGTGATGGTAGTGTTGTTTCAGAAGCTAATAGAAAGTGTATGAGTTTAGCCGAGAAACTAAATGTGTTAAAACGATATGAAAAAGGTGAGAGGTCTGTGGTTATTATATGGAGCAAGCAATGAACATATTTTCTGAAGTGGATCCATAAACAGAACGAAGCATTAAAATTTAAATAAATGCAAATGACCTCTACATAAAGATGTATAATGAGAAAAGAAAGCAGCTGTGCAAGGTTCTTTGACAGCTTTATTATTTGAAGGCCTAAACCATCAACTTCAGCTACACCATCATAAGCAGCTTCAGGTTCATTAACAGTTTCAGCAACAGCTTTATGGAAAGCTACTGCTTCAGCCAGAGTTGAACCTGATGACTTCGTCATCTGAATAAAAACTCGCACAATGGTCATTGGCTGTCTTTATGTTTTAGACTTTGCCACCATTGGTGAGTAGAATTTTTGTTTTACATTCGTAAATATTATTTAAAACATATAGGAACAGTAAATACCATGCGTTCATATTCATATGTAGAGAAATGACGATATGTTTTCACATGTACGCACTTACTGTTCATACGTTGGCGTTCCCAATCGTCTCGCATTATTTCTTTACCATTAGTGGTTAGCTTCTTCTAGTTTTCCATTTATTAACATTAAATAACATTACTTAAAACATACATACAGGTATTCAATTTTTTAAAACTAAGTTCACTACAGCTACAACCAGGGTCTTATTTCTTCAGTTTCTTATTTAGAACCATCGTCACTCACGAAAACAATGCCGTCTAGTCTCCTCGTGTGTTTTAATATTCTAAGTATTATTAATGAAATGCATTGTTCATTTCACATATATGAAAATTAATTCAATCAAATACTTATTCAGTAAAAAACAATAATGAATCTTTTGTACATATTCTTATGATAAATGACTGTTTCCTCGAGTGCTCGGTGCGCACGTACTGTATACATTGGCGTTCCACTATCAGTCTCACTTTTTTGGTTTAATGTCAGTGGTTACTTATACTGTACATTAAATATCATTAAGTAAAACAATTTTTTTTTACATTAATTTTACTACAACAATAATCAGGGTCTTATTTTCTTCAGTTTCAGGTGGATAATATACAGGTAGTTCTGCTATAACGCGATAATTGTGTTCTTGTAAAATATCGTGTTATATATATACACACAGCTCCTCCCCGACTGACGACCTACTCGACTTACGTCCACCCGCACTTACGACCTGCCTCAGTCGTACCAAAATTTGGTCAAATTACCATATATACTCGTCTATAACCTCCCCTCGTTTATAGGTTGACCCTGATTTTTTTACCAAGAAATCGTTAATTTATGATATTCCTCGTTTATAGTTCGACCCACGTTTTTGAGGGTAATGGAACAACAAAACCTTCAGTAAAAACGCTCTACGTCCTATAAACTGAGGCTCGCCGTGCCTGAAACACGAGTGCCGAAGGCAAATTGTTTACCATTTATTATTACGACACTTTACACTGAAACGTGGGGTAGTTTCAACAAAAATATTGTATATTTCCATTCAAATATTTATTCAAGTCAATTAGGAGGGAATATTTTTGTAATACAACAGTTTAACTAAACCATTCGAAAAGCGATTACGGTAACATCTTTTGAAGGAAAGAAAGCGAAAGTCATTGTTTTTGTCACGATTTTATCCCACTTTCCACTGTAATACGTACGTCATTTCAGCAAAAATATTTCATTTCCGTGAATGCATTATATCAAGCACAGTATGAATAGAATACCATTGTAATATAACAATATTTTAACCAAAAACTATTAAAAAAAGAGTAACTTCTCTTGAACATCGGAAGGTTAGGTAAAATCTTTTGTTTTCGTCATGTATTTTATCCTATTTTACATTAAAATACATCACGTTTCAGCAAAACTACTATTTATTTCCGAGAATATATTCATTCAGGCACAGTTAAGGTAAAATATACATGTGATGTAACAGTTTTTTAACTGAAAACGATTCGAAAAACACGTGTACCGTCTAGCTGATACAGCTGGTGGTGCGTGATGCGTCGTTGTAAACAATAGGAGGTTGAAGTAGATTACCGGGTATTATATTAAGTGTGAAATATCGAAAAGGTTTTTATTACCGGTATTTTTTGTAGATCAATGAGAACTGTGATACCGTATATGATATGATAAGTTAGCCTGTGCTAAGAACTTCAACATAGACTACTGAAAACACGTTGTAAGGTAATTTAGCCTATTGTAAGTTGGTGAGCTTCATTTGCTGAAGGAACTGCACAACTTTTCATTACTAATTGGTACATATTTTACGTTTCCATTGTTACTGGCAGTAAATGGTAAATATTTTTCATGTCTGAAGCTAAAAATCATGCACGGGTTCAACCTAACAAAACTATTACGCATGTATAGGACGATTTTTTCTAAAATTTGGTCTAAAAAAACTATACACGAGTATATATGTATGTAAAATGGTATAATTTGATATATGTATAGCTATATATGTGAATATATGTAAATATGATATATATATATATATATATATATGTATATATATATATATATATATATATATATATATATATATATATATATATATATATATATATATATATATATATATATATATATATATATATATATCTATATATTATATATATATATATCTATATCTATATATATATATATATATATATATATATATATATATATATATATATATATATATATATATATATATATATATATATATATATAATAATAAATATATCATATAGTACAGTGGGGTATGCTATAACGAACGTAATTGGTTCCAGAACCTCGTTCGTTATAGCATTCGTCGTTATAGGATTAATCCGTTCCAGGCCCCCAAATACAACCACTAACACTGAAAAAATTCTGTGGAAAAAGTAAAAAATATGGTACTTTATCTTACCTTAGTGTTATTCAGCATGCAGGTACCCCTAAACACTGGCACAGCACTATCACTTCCACTGGGAGTCTTGGCTTTAAGGTCCTCAAACAATTGTTTAGCCTTCTCACAAATTATAGCTTCACTAATGTTACCACCTGCCATTTCTTTCTCCTTTATCCACACTAAGAGTAAATTTTCCATCTCTTCAATCACATTACACCTTGCTTTGCTAAGTCTAAAGATTCCCTTAGCCACTTGCACAGTTTTTAACTCCTCTTTATTCTTCAAAATTGTACATATAGTCGATTTAGCCATCCCATATTCATCACTAAGTTTCGCAATGCTTCTTCCATTCTCACGTTTCTTTATAATTTTTTTCTTAGTTTCAAGGGTTATTAGCTTTCTCACTCGTTTTGGACGATTCATTGTTACAATTGTATACTTGTATAACAAAATATTATACAAATAATGCGAATTTCCACATCAAAAGACGAAATTTCAACAATAACAGTGGTGCACTGGCTACACAATGAGACAAAGATGGCGCCTGACGCTCTTGTTGTGGGTCGCGGTACAACAGTATTCATGCGCCAGGCGAAATAGTCCCGTATTCATCCGCGTTCGTTGTAGGAGTTGCGTTCGTTATAGCATTCTCAATTTTATAGGTAAAACCGTTCGTTATAGGAATATTCGTAGTAGGATCCGTTCGTTATAGCATACCCCACTGTATATATATGTATGTATATAATTATTTTGGTAGAGATAGTGTTGCAGCCATTAACTTGTATAATTATTTTCAGCACAGCCAATGTTCCAACTTTGCTGCCAACCACAAAGGAGCCATCCAAGTTGTCAGTCAACCTTTGAGGCTCCTCTCAAGCTGAGTATTTGCCATATCCCTCGCGCCTTTATTTAAAGTGGCTCCGTCAAGCCCACATGAGCTCTCACTAACACTTTTATAGCTTCCCAAAGAGGATCTGAGAGCAGCATCGGCCCTCCAACTTATCCTGAATACTGCCGCTACAAATGCTTCATTCATCTTCTAGTACAAAACCATTGCTCTTCTCTTGTGACCACCCATGTTGGAGTGATTGGCAAGTTTTTGGGGCCTTGCTTCTTCACTAGCGAGGAGTCTAGGAAAGTGCCCTACTGGTTTTATTATATATATATATATATATATATATATATATATATATATATATATATATATATATATATATATATATATATATATATATATATATATATATATATATATATATACACACACACACACGCATGCATACATACACACACACGCATGCATACATACACACACACATATATATATATATATATATATATATATATATATATATATATATATATATATATATATATATATATATATATATATATATATATATTCTTATGTCCAGATTTTAACTAATGGTCACACTGATAATTCTGTGATTTTTGTTAGGAGGCAATTAATACTGGAAAAGTATTGTTGAATTGCATATTGTATGTTACATTACTGGTGTTTTGAGAATGAGCACATAATTTTGCATTATTTTTTGAAGGATTTTGAAGTGAAAGTGTGAGGATGAAGTGTCTATTGATTTTTTATAGGATGCACTAGCTTGCCCGATATGAATTTTTCTGATATTCCCTGTTGTAGTACTTGGTCCTATAAATTGATCAAGTGTTTAGCATGAAAGTGATCCAAAAGAATGGAAATAACTGGTTCTTTTTACTTTTTTATAGATGGGGGCTACTCCCTGCTTGCTCATGGTAATTCTTTATTTTATAATCCTTATTGTAGGTGTGGGACAGTGTTTTTTGGTAAATAAAAGCATCAAGATTTTTTATTATAATCATTATCCTCTTAAAACATACATACATATGTTTCAAAACACTTTATACAGTATGACATAATAATGTGAAAAAAATAATCGATGTAAACTATACAAATCTATATATACACATAATGTATATATGTATATACAGTTGTACCCCACTTAACGCGGTCAATTGAACCCAGAGGGTCCCGCGTTAAGTGAAATCCGCGTTAAGTGAACAACAGAACATATGGGATTAATTCCAATAGAAACCGGCCCGACCCCCAAACTCCACTTTTTGAAGACACATAACTATGTTGTCGTAAAAATAACATCTTAATTTTATGATGGTACATGCACACAATTAATACTTAAGAGAAATAGAGAAATACAGTCGCCAAGTTAATGTCCATTCAAATAATGGACTCAACTCCCTCCCCCTCTCACACTACACAGCCGGCTAACAGATGGTCGGTCGGTCCCTCCCTCCCCCCCCACCCCCCACCAACCGTCCCAAGGAGATGTGTGGGATAACCTCAAACTAAAGTTAGGAAAATATAATTGACATTGCTGGATTCCTTGTAAGACCAGGAATATTTTGAATATAAATGTCATATATTTTGGACAAAAGATAACAGTTACCTAGAGAAAAAATTTTATCTAAAAATTGTAAGTTTAAAGCAAAATATATGATGTTTATATTCAAAATGATCACCAAATTATAAGAATTCCAGCAATGTAAATTATATTCTGACCGGGTAATTTGTATGAATTTTATGAGCTAAAACAAATATCTTCAGTTAATAAAAAAAAAAATAATCTTCACAACACTATCTGTCAATCAAAGTACCCCACCTTGCCTCCCCCCCTCTTCCAACCGCGCGGTCAGTCCCAACCCTCCCCCCCACCCCCCACCAATCCTCCCTTCCAGAGTTTTTAACATTTAGTATTAAATAATACCTCAGATTAAAGTTAGGATAATATAATTGACATTGCTGGATTCCTTGTAAGACCAGGAATATTTTGAATATAAATGTCATATATTTTGGACAAAAGATACCATAGTTACCTAGAGAAAAATTTTTATCTAAAAATTTTAAGTTTAAAGCAAAATATATGATGTTTATATTCAAAATGATCACCAAATTATAAGAATTCCAGCAATGTAAATTATATTCCGGCCTGGTAATTTGTATGAATTTTATGAGCTAAAACAGGCAGTCAGGCAGGGTGGCGGGTGGGGCAAATCTAAAAATAGCGTCTCGGACACTCGACACTCACCCACCGCGTATATGTGGAAAAAACCCGCGTTAAGTGAAAGTTCAGCTTTGGCAAGGCACCGCGTATATGCGAAAACGCGTTAAGTGAAAGCGCGTTAAGCGGGGTAAAACTGTATACCAAATCATGCTAATACTACAATGACACAACTTGTATACCTGTTATTTTCACTGGCAACTTTTTTAAAAACTTAGTTTAGCTATGCTACTGCACATTAAAAATTGGATTTGATTTAGCATTAGAACAGTTGGCCTGATGCTTTAAGACCAGATGAAAATGTGCCCTTTCTATGACTACATAATGAAAGAACTTGTAAATAATTTCTTGTAATATATTGCAGATACAGTAATACTAGACTAGATATAAATGAATTGGAGATGTTTACTAATACTGTGTGTGCAGCATATTGTTAAAATTGTATGGATACATGCAGCATATGCAAACTTAACATACCTTATGACTATTTACAAGTTTTATGAAAACTTGTATCATTCATATCTTTTCGGTATTAACTGACCCAGTGCAATAATTTGACTTAGCAGGGTCACTATTAATTATTCTTGTTTGTTGTAATTAATGTTGCTAACTTGCTAGTAAATTCACAGGTGAAGCATCAACTGTTCTGATTGTAGCAGCAACGATAGGCTTTCCTTGTTTTATTTGAAACTGAATAAGGCATAGTTCTTCCATTCTTTGTGACAAAATGGGAAGTCTGATTCAGCAAATCCCACACTTCCACCACTAAATATTCCATGAAGTCTACTCTTGCTTATGCTTCCAACAGATCCAGAGAAATCGAATGGCCCAACTAACTTTATCTCCAATAACTCCAAACGGACTGAATCTACCATGTGATATTTTACCTTTACTAATTCTAGACTGACCGAGTTCCCTACCCAATTTTCCTTGAATTTTGTTAGTTGAAATATCAGTCGATAGTGCAGGTGAGACCTTCATATTTGCTGCATGCTGGTTGACTCTCAGGTGCTAATGGACTAAGTTGATGTATTTTTTTATTAACAAATCCTATTTGCTTATCTTCAGGTTTGATAATTTGGGATTCTGCACCAATTCCAGTGTTTACTGTATGACTTTTGGCAGTAATTGAAGGTACAAAAGTTGTGATGAGAGGATTTAATAAGGGAGCCAACCCAGTGACTTCAGACAATATTTCACCTCCATCTGCTGCAAATTCATCTGGACTTGGCCCAGTTCTGCCAATGTTAAATGTGACTGCTGCTGGTCTAGCAGCAATGTTGATATTATTATTGACTGTCTTACCTTGACCAAAACCATCTATGCTTTGACTGATACGAATGACAGGTGCTTGAGTGATTGTGGTGATTGCTGGTACAGCAACAAAGCTACCGTCAGCATTAATACCATCAACTGACTCTGTGCCATATCTGATGTGAGTAACAGGTGCTCTATTTATTGTAGGAATTTCTGATTCTTTGATGAAACCATCACCTTTGCCTCTAATACCAGTTACTCCAATTATACCTTGTAAAGTCTTTCCACCAATTACTGTTGGAAATTGATTGAAAACATTATCTGTTGGTGTTGCCAAAATAGCAGTTGCTACTGGAACACCAGTTATAAAGCTACCACCATCTGTCTGTGATGTACCAAATTCCTGAAAATTAAGTATTTGTGGTAACAAAACTTCACTACCATTCACTGCTTGTGGTACAAGAAGTCCATGAACACCACCTACCTGTGGTACAATAAATCCATTACCACCACCTACTTGTGGTACACCATTTCCAACACCACCTATCTGCTATAAGACAATGGGTGTGCCTCCTGACTGCCAAATAGTCATTTCTGTTTCTTAACACATCTTGTAGATGAATTGTGCCATAAGGGGTCTCGGGTAAGAAATGAGGAATGCTTCCAACTATCTGACCAAGATGAAAAATCCCTAAGCCTGTTGTCTGATCACCAGTAAAGCTATTTAAACCTCCTATCTGATTAGCAGCAATGCTATCTATGCCTCCTATTTGTAGTATGGCATAATTTATCTGGTTAGCAGGCACCATGATTTATCTGGTCAAAAGTCAAGTTGCCCAAGGTGTCTGTTCCTACTGAGGCATCAGTATTTGTCTGGTCAACAGACAAGTCACCCAATCTTTTTGTTCCTGTTAAGGCTCCTCCATTTGTCTGGTCAACAGACAAGTCACCCAATCTTTTTGTTCCTGTAAAGGCCCGTCCACACGATCGAGCAGTGCCCGGCAGGCACGCGCAAAATGCCCGTTATCGGGCAAACCAGCGGAGTGCCCGTGCCCGGCGTCGAGCGAAATCATAGTTCGCCTGCCTGGTGGACAGATGACCGGTGAAAATAGAATCCATGCTCAGAAACTGATTTTTGAGGTTCTTTATCTGGGGAAACTAGGCAGGCTTTCCTCATCAATGATGATTATATAAGAGTAATCTATTGTTTAAGGGTGTTGGATAATTTCAACTATTGTTATGTCCTTAGTGGCAAACACACAATGATAGTTGTGTGCTGTTAAACCTGGTACTGTGGTCACATATTTTTTTTTATTTACGTATATGCATGTAGGTATATAATTTTTTATTGACATGTCCTATTTTGTGGAGAGGGTCTTAAAATCTTTAATTGCATACTACATACGTTGGGGTGTATGTAATTATTATGTGAAATAAAGTTTGTCTTTATACAAGTTGTGTCAATCATCAATATCTTATTTGCAAACAACCTAGTGTCCCAAACAGGTCCATCATGTATCACATGTGTATGGCAGGGTTACCCCCCTTCACAAATACTAATATGTTTTAATATCATTTTCATTATTAATAATCGATAATACTGGAAAACCGACATTCCTATAATATTGTCATTAATATTCAACATTACACAAGCCTGCAATACAAGACACGTGTTATTATTGGAACTTCACGTGACTGTCAAAAACAGCTGACCTCGGGGGTTGGGTCCTCAAGTCGGTGAGGTATGAACGGAGATACTGACAGAACGTATGCTAGCACTTTGTTAAACCTGAGTTAAGTATTGCAAATGTGATACGTACAGTATATGTTCCCCGCTTGGTCCAGATGTCCAGTGTATAACCAAATAAGCTTATGCAATGTACATTATTGGCGTGACAATAAACGGGAGATTGTTTATGT